TCTTACGCTTAAAATATCATACCGTGTGTGTTGTTTTTGAATACTCTTCATCATTGAAATTCGGCTCTTCCAGTTTAAGCAGCTCGTTAAACATCGACAGAGTATCTTCATCGACTGGAACGGAACCAGTGTCGCGAGAGAGCATGTAGATCACTGAGGAAATGCAGACTGCCATACACTAAAATTGTAATATAGCCGCTAACCAAATTAAAATGTACACAGCCTGTACAGCATACTATAGCCTAAAAGTCCCATTTTGTGCTCATTTTGGCAATGTTAAAGAGAAGAGGAGCTAAAGGCTGTAGAACAAAATAAAACCTGTATACTGTATACTCAAAAAAATCAAAATGAAATGACGAAACTAATTTTCGAGAAATCTGTCTGACACTTCGTCATTTTGCAAGCCATTCCAGATAGGTTTTACCTAATCCAAACAAAAACATCTAAAAATTCGCTGATTTCATAATTTAAGCGCCGCTCCTGATCAGTGTGATAAAGTTTACATTTCCTTAGGAATATTTCAGAGTCTAGCCACAGCACGCTTTTCTTTTGCTTCATACTTGCGCACTACTGTTAACAAATGAATAAACTAGTATGAACGAAAAAAGCGGAAACCGGTGAATCAAGTGACTCCGAAATCGCTTTGAGCGTTCGACAGACATAATCCTGCGTTCGGAAAAATTTTCGGAATTCGCTGTCCACACATTTTTTGGCAAGCGAAATGATACTAAAAGCAAAATTACACTGCAGAGAAAAAAGAAATTTCTGCCCTCCGCAAGCCGATCTTCCCAAAACCTCGAAATAAGAAGGGTGAGATCAATTCGACAACAGCACAAAGCGACAGAAGAGCCACATTCCTGAATGGGCTCATTAAACATGGGCTTACTTGACAATTCGTTTCACGAGGCTCCTATTAAAGTCACTGCGAAGTAGCAAATGGCTGCGCGCATCAGAGTAGCTCATGCGATTATGTCTTGTACAATTCTGTCCAGCCAATGTTTGCCGCCAAAAATGTTTACTTTTTTACAGTTCATTATGTGCAGAAATTGAATTATTTTGACTGGTCAAAACTCTCTTGTGTCCATACT